ACAAATTCGAGGAGATGATGAGGGAAAACCAGCCGGGCTCCGGCGACGAACGGTGGCCGCTGGTGACTCATTTTGTGGGGTGCAAGCCGTGCGGAAAGGCCGGGGAATACCCTGCTGAGAAATGCTTCACGGCAATGGAGAGAGCGTTCAATTTTGGGGACAATCAGATTCTTCAAATGTATGGATTCACCCACGAGTCGCTGGGGAGCAGCAGAAGGGTTCAAGAAATTAGAGAAATTACTCAGAATGAAGCTGGATTTCCTTCAGCTGTGGAAGAACTAGAAGCTCCTTCTTCTTAAGGTATTTCGTCACTGTTTTTTGTTTTTCTTTCTTGCTAGATCCTTAGTTCAATGTTTGTTCATTCATAGCCATGTCTATAAATGTTGGGTTCTTATTTTTTCTTCCATTTTTTAATTTAGTTGGTGGGAAATAAGAGTAAATAGCTTTCTGTAGACAGAATAGAATGTTTTCGTTCCTTAGACTCGAGAACGTTCTGAAGTGTATGCAGATCACATGCTCCATAATTAAATAAATTTTTTTTTACTTTTTTTTTTAAATTTCGGTACAATTGTTTTAATTTTTATTATTTTATAATTGTTATATTATTGTATTTTTTAACGTATATGTATTATTAATATTTTGTTAATAGTTAGTACTATTTAAAATGGTCGTGCTTGTTTTAATTTTTAATTTGATAACTCAAATATTGTTAAAATATTTTTTAAAAATAGTTCAAATATATTATCTTAATTAGGTTTTTAAGAAAATTATATGATATTTAAGATATATATTAGATAAAAATATTTAGTTCAAAATTTATTAAATATCATAAAATTTATAATTTTTCATAAAATATATATTAACAATATTTTAGATGAATTAATTTTACTTATACAATAGTTTTTCATAAAAGTATAACCCAAAAATATAACTATTAAACGTTGATATAAAAGATTAAGAATTTAATTTTAAAGTAAAATTATAAATTGTACGAATGCATGGCACATAGTAGCAAACAGTACATGTAACAATTAGAAACTAATTTATTTATCAGACAATCAGACAGAAAAAAAAAAACTTAAGAGTTGATTCCGCTGTACAAGACGACGCCGTATAAGTACAATCCTTATTCCTTCAAATCTATTGAGCAACCATGGTAAGATTGACAACGGTAAGAAAAACGGACCAAGCCAAGCACGGCTTAACCAAATCCGCGGCGATGGGATTCACTCGCCGGAACAACCGGTCACAGCCGACGAGCGCCGCCGTCTTGGCGAGGCACGCCACCGCAGCGAGGCGGGGCGCGCCGGCCCCGAGGAGGAGACCGTACCAGGTGAAACAGAGGAGGACGTAGAGAGTGTAGAGATAGAGAGCATTGGGCGTGGAGTGGAAGCCGCCGTCGGCCCAGACGAGCCAGACGGCGGCGCCCATGAGGAGGCTGGAGGCGAAGGAGCCGAGATTCACGGCGGCGGCGGAGGGAAACCAGAAGGGTTTCGGAGATGAGGGGGGGAATTTGGTGGGGTCGGAGAGGAGGTAGACGGCGAGGAGGGAGAGGGAAACGGGGACGGAGACGGCGACGGCTAGAGATTTGAGGCCTCGTCTGGCGGTGGCGGTGGGCTTCCGGGCGGGGGCGGTGGCGGTGGCGGAATCGTCTGATTCTGTTGGTTTGCGGTGTTTGAGGTCGGGGGAGGCCATTTTTGTCTGTTGCTTTGTTTGCGGTGTTTGAGAGGGAGGGTGATTTAAAGGAGGTGGAGAAGCGGGAGGACACGTGGCACTGGAGGACACGTGGCACTGGAGGGAGAGTGAGGTGTACAAAATGACAAATTACGCTCTTTTTCTTTCTAAGGGCTTTGGTTTGGATTTGGATTTGGAAGGAGGAACTCATCCACTTGGCTTGGATACCACAACTTGGTCATGCCACGTGTTGCTACGTTTAAGAGAGAGAGGGAGAGAGAGAGAGAGACTAAATTTATGATTTTACTACTTTTTCAATATTTCTAGGAAACAAAAATTATTTTTCAATTTTATATCAAATATGTCCTTTAATTGCAGAATGAGAATGCAGGCAAACAGAGAAAAGTACAAAATATAAGTAGATAAAAGAATGTAGAAAACACAAATGGAAAATAAAGATACTGGTTGGATTATCATTCAAGTCCAAGGTCGGTGTCTTGGCATAAATTAATGGAGATAAATTATAAATTTGAGTAGAAAATACAATGAAAAAAAAATGTGAAAAAAGGTATAAAAAGAAAGCAAAATTGAAAAATAGTAAGCAATAGAATGTGAAAAATACATGGGGAATAGAAAGAGCGCAAAATAGGTGGGAACTTATTTAAAAAACAAAGTTACTGTCTCGGGTTTGAAATCTTTTGTCAAATTAACTCAGAGGTCGCAAGTTTCGAATCATTAAAGTATACATAATAAACAATACATTAGTTAAATGATGATGTGACATGTCTATTAAACAAATTTTAACTTTTTAACTAATTTGACATCGCTTAAAGATACAATATAAAATGAAGCTCATACTTGGATAAAGGGAAGCAACATATGTAATATGTCACTTTAATCTATTTTTATATTGTGACACTAAATCTAATATTGTGACACTAATAAGGTAGATGTGATGTTTTTTTTTTTCTTTTTATCTTTTTGTTCCAAATTAGGACCTAAATTGACACAATCAACAAAATCCGAAGAGTGAATTTATAATTTAACCTATATTTTGATGTTTAATATATCATATCAAATCCATTAATATTTATACAACGAATTAATATTTATACAACGAATACGTTGTGACCCATGCTACTATTAGTAGCAAAACTTACATCTACGTACAATTACAACTCAAAATTTTTATGAATTTAAAATCTTACATCTACTTAGAATAACAACTCAAAATTTGTATGAATTAAATTATTTTTAAAGTATATAGATTAAAGTCTCTTAAATCTAAGCTTAAAATCAAATCAAATTTGTAATTTAAACCATTATTTTTAACGTAGTCTAATTGGGCCGTACCAAGAATTAGGGCTCAAATGTTTCGATTTAGGTATAAAGCCCACTTTGCAGCCCATCGAAAAAATGGCGGGTTTGATCGGCCGGTGTATGTCAACGGAATCGTGGGTCGTTGGAGGACGGAAGGCGGCTCGACGACGGGGGAGGCCATGGCTGTCAAATCGGTGAAACCGCCGCGGAAATCAGCAATTTCCGGTAAAAAATATCGTCGAGATCCGAAGCTCGAATTTGCCTTCTTTTTGATATTGGCTGATGCTATCCTTGTCACCCTTATCATCGCATATGTACCCTGTAAGATCGAATTCTTACTCGTTCTGTTCTTTAAAATGAGTTTTCAATCTGCCCTTTTGACGCCATTGATTATTTGGTTCCAGATACTAAAATTGACTGGGACGCTTACATGTCTCAAGTAAGTCACTTGTTTGCGGTAGATTTATATGTTTTATATCCACTATATCTGCCGTGACTACTTATTCCCCAGACGAAACAGCAAGTAATGATAAAATTGCCAAAAATTAGAGTGTCTGAAAATTATAACATCCTCTTGCTTGAAGTTTTGATCGCAAGTTAAGCATTGTTTGTATGTGTTTTTTACAGCACCCAAGTTGGTCGTTTGATTGATCTTGTAGCTTTGGTTTCAATAGTGGCTCTACATCTCTCTCGGGTTTAATGGGTTTTACATTTCAGTTTATTTTTCAAGCAGGTTAGTGGATTTCTGGGAGGGGAGAGGGATTACAGCAAATTGCAAGGAGACACTGGACCTCTAGTTTATCCTGCTGGGTTTTTGTATATTTATTCTGCCATACAGTTCGTTACTGGAGGGGAGGTCTATCCAGCGCAGGTAATATTTTGTTCGTTTAAGAGATCAAGGAATTGTCGATTAATTGTTGGAGAGAAACTGATTTAAAAATTTATTTGATTTTGTTTTTCATTTTCTTTAGGACTTTTGGGTAGACCGGTAGAGCTAACATTATTGTGTACATAAATCACTATTCACAAACTCGTGTTTTAGATAGAAAATGTCTTCATTTGTTTAGTTTTGTTCTTAAGAGTATAGGAATTTTTTCAAAACATTTCATCACTGATTTTTGTTCATAATTTTGAAAACCGTTTTGAGATAGTTCTCAAATAAGTTGTTACACCTTTTCTTCTGCGGAGATGTGGGGAGGGCATCAGCTGATAAATTATTCAGGTGCTTAAGTTTTCTCTTGTATCTACACGAATATATGGATTCAGAGAACATAGTTATGGTTCTGAGTTGTGACAAGCTTCTATTATTGCAGATTCTTTTCGGTGTCTTGTACATTATAAATTTGGGAATAATCTTATTCATCTATGCGAAGACTGATGTGGTATGCATTTATCTTCTGTTCTTTTTTTCTTCTGCTTCTTTTATGCCACTGAATATGAACTAGGGAATTATCACAACTTTGTGCATAATATATTTGTCCTTACAGCCTCGAAATGATCTAAGGCTACAAACTGAATTACTAGTTGAAAAAGTAGTAGAGGTCAAATGGTAATTTTAAATGCTAATAAGTAGTTTAGTTCTATTCGTCCGCGCCCGCCTCAAGGCACATTCTCCATTTTGCTCTATAGTTAAAACAGTATTCAACACCGGTGTTTCCTTTTTAATCTGTTGCTGTTGCAATATCACTGTGCCCTGACTGTTCTGGACTGGGGATGGAGAAAGGAGAATATCTTTGCCATTTTCTAACATCTTGAAACCCTTTCAAATTGAATTGCCTGACAGCTTCCATTGTGGGCTTTTTGCTTACTCTGTCTCTCTAAACGAGTGCACTCCATCTTTATGCTCCGTCTCTTCAACGACTGCTTTGCCATGACCCTTCTTCATGCTGCATTGGCCTTGCTTCTTTTGCGAAGGTGGAACCTTGGATTAATCATCTTCAGGTATTATTAACACATTGCAGTATCATCTTAATTTTTATGTTACTACTTTTAACAGTTTTTTTTCCTCTTTCTATTTCTGCAGTTTTGCTGTTTCCATAAAGATGAACATTCTTCTATATGCCCCACCTTTACTACTACTTATGTTAAAGGTGGTTTTTATTATCATTGTTATTGTTTTTTGCAACATTCTAAAATAAATTTTGGTTCAAATTCTTTGTTAAGATAGTTCAAACTCTCAGCCTTATTTATGACAACAGGCTATGGATATCAGTGGAGTGATAACAGCTTTAACTGGGGCTGCTATGGTGCAGGTGCTTTGCTTCCTAATTAAATTTCCAATATCAGCAGATGACTGTCTTCTAGGTTAAAAGAGCTTTGAACTTGGGACTTATTTGTGGTATTTCTTGACATATGATTATTTTCCCATAAAATTTGTTTTGGAATGCACTCAAGTTTACCATCAGTAGCTTGATGGACGTAGTCTTTGCTTTCCAATTGAATGGCTAGGCGAGTTTTAAGCTTCAGAATTGCTATTTCCTTTATCATTGAGGATGCTTTATCATCTATTTACATTTGGTGGATTAATGGTTCTGCAGATTCTGTTCGCACTTCCTTTCGTAGTTTCACATCCATTTGCATATATTTCAAGAGCTTTCAACCTCGGGCGTGTCTTCGTCCACTTCTGGTACATCTCACTGTAATTCAAAGCTCTGCTCCTTTTGAAGAACATCTTATACCTTTATCCGTTAGCTGTTTTCTAAATGGTATAATTGATTTAAGAGAAGTTTTCTGTGTTGGATCAGCTTTATTTTTTGATTGTATCTTTCTTCTATTAAAAGTGCCTGCGGTTTGGTGTATTAGGTCTGTTAACTTCAAGTTTGTCCCGGAGCCAATATTTGTGTCGAAACAGTTTGCTGCTTTGTTGCTGATTACTCACCTGACATTGCTGGCAGTATTCGCTCATTACAAATGGTGCAAGTAAGTGCTTCAACTTGACAATAAAATTGAGATATTGTTGTCATATTAATACTCTATATGAGCCTGCTAGACGGGGAAGATTTTCAGAAAATTTTTGGTCATGAAATTCACATCCAGTTGCGGATAAAAAAGTCTGTCTTCTTTTTTCCTTCTACGTCATATTATTTATCTGTCATTAACCATAGTCGATTTACTAACTCTGAAGGGGCCGCACTAGTGTGGCCTGGGGTAGTGTTGGGGTTTTTTTTTTCTTCAATGTGTTGGGTTAAAGCTAAAGCTGCCTCCAGTGAAAAAACTTAATAATTTGAAATCTTGTTGTCTCCGTTGGTCTTGGGTGGGGGAAGACTCTAGAGACTATTGGGGTGGGCAATGCATCATGTTTAAGTGGGAAACTCAGATTCCCCGGTCACCCAAAAAATGTATAAATTTATAGTCAATTTATTAACTGGCCATCCAGTGGGTTATGACTGCAGTGGCTTATCTTGCGTAGCATGTGCAACACCATTCATATTTGATACTTTTTCATTCTCTTGCAGGCGTGAAGGTGGGCTTTTGAATTTCATCCATTCACAATTTCTCTCTATTAAACTTAGATTGGCCCCAGTGAGTTCCTTTCCCCTTCAGATGTCTGGGAATAACAAGTCATCCTTCAAGTTACTCAAGGAAGAACGTAAGTTGGTACTAAAACAACTTCAGATGTCAATTGTAGTATGATGATTTGTTTTACGGATTTCTGATGATCTTTCATTTGTTGAGTCTAACTCCCTTGTTTCATATTCTCTAATTGATTTTTCTCCAACCATTGTATTTCCCCAGATATTGTAACAACAATGTTTGTCGGAAATTTCATCGGCATTTTGTGTGCTCGATCTTTGCATTATCAGTTCTACTCATGGTAAGTTCATTACTCATTGAACCACTTGCATTACATAAAATTCACTAACTTATCAGATCCAAAGTGGTGCAGTGCAGGCACTAAACGTCATATTGGTTATGTGCTGCAGGTATTTCTTTTCCATTCCATATCTATTGTGGAGAACACCGTTTCATACACTATTACGGTAGCGCCCCAAACACCTTATACTTCTTGTCTGGACTATTCTCGGCACATTGTTACCGTTTCTTGTTTCTGGTTCCTTTTTTTGCAGTTTGGTTCTGTTTGCCGGGATAGAGTTTTGTTGGAATGTCTATCCTTCAAACTTTTACTCCTCCATCTTGCTTCTAAGCCTTCACCTAATTTTGCTTTGGGGTTTGTGGTGTGGACCAGAAGAGAATCCTTATGTTCACAGCGAAGCATCAGATACGAAACTAAAATAGAAAACACAACTCTTCATCTTGTGTATCACTATCATTAGTTTGAATTGCATAGAATTTAACATTCTCCATGTTTGAATTTTAGCTGACTTTCTTGTTAGCTCTTCTTTCCTCCCCTCTTCTTCCTCTAGCGAATGGATCTCGGTTAATTCCGTCGGGGGAACGAGATCAACTTCGGGTCGTCAAGCTATTTAGTCTGTGTCTTGCCCCTCAGTTATTGTCGTCTTGGACATGCCCTTGAAAGCTGCTGCTATCTTTCCTTGTATTTTGTAGGTTCATTCTATTACCTATAATCATAGTGCTGAAATGAAAGAGAGGACAGATTGGATATTGTCCATTTGAGCTATTACAAAAATATCCAATAATCTGGAAAATTTTGGTCATTTGATCCAAAAAAAAAGTTAATTGGTCGAGTCTGAAGTAGCATTTTTGTAAAATTAAGTATGACGACGTTAGTTTGGATTTACGAAACTTGGAGTTGCGAAGCTTGAGTTTGTGTATTTTGTTCTCAAATTATGCAATTGAATGAGCTATGAAAAATTTAGTTCGGATAGCTTAAATTGTTTTTAGTTTAATATGCACTGTAAAAAGTTGATTTTCAAAGTTGAAGTTTATGTTTATTATAGGGTTTAACGAACTTCCGACTTGAAGTAACTGACCTATCATGCATAGGTTCGACTTCTTGACTTTGAATTATAGAAACTTTAATTCGTGAGTTGAGATATATAAATACTAAATCTACTCAATGTAACATCAAAGTGCCATAATTGAGCTGTCGATTCAAACCAAAGAGAAAGGCAAGAGAAAAGTAAGCAGGATTTGTTTGGCTTTCTCGTCTTTTTTTAGCAATTCAAAACGTTTTCAAATTTTGAAAATTTGAATGCTATACCTCTGACACTTTGCTTAGTCTTTCCCAAATGACTATAATGCCCCCATGATTTCAATAATGTTAAATTAAATTGTTTTTCCTTGTACTTTACTTTTAAGTAGGGTATTTTATCAAGTTCCAATGTATTTATACTTTTTGAAATTCAAAAAGGACAGATCAATATTTACACTTTAGCGATCACTCTTTTTTTTTTTAATTCATGAGTGGGTCAATTTACGCGTACCTGGACTAATTTCACTGTCTGAACCCATTTCTTCTCGATTTATCTTAGCCTATTTGGATGAATGAGCCACTTATGATAGTTCACTTTAGTGATAACTTTTAACATACATTTAATCTAATTGAGGATTATGTTAAAGTAAATTAAGTTCTGAAAAGAAAATGATTGAAAAACAATTTTTAGTGTTGGGAAGAAAAAATTGGAGAGGGAGAGAGAGGGGATTTGAACTTGAGAAATCAATGGCAAAATGGTAACTACACACAAAATGGGGCGCAGCAAGAAAGGCTTTTCATTTCCCCATATTCTCCAATTCTCCCACCCGCCTCTCTGGACGATTGGACACCGCGAGTTCTAGCATCTCCAGATTGTCTTTCTCTCGAAGATCCAATTTTGCAGAGAAATGGTATGCGTCTCCGCCCTTTCAAACCTCATTCCATTCAATTACGCTTCTTCACTCTTGCTTCTCACTGCTTTTGATGTGAAACTTGTGACTGAATGCTGAATCCGTTAGGATTTCCCAGTTTTACGCCATGAAATTATGTCTTTCCTGTGGTCGTCGAATGATTCTGTTCAGTTTTTAGTTGGTTGTGGGTCATGATGCGGTACTGAGCAATGCCCATTGGTTATACGTTGGTTTGGGTTCGGGTTACTGGCGACTTTTTTGTGGGTTTCATACTTCTCTGCTGTGGTTCATCGTTTGATTCGGGTTTTCGTGGCTTCGTCTCTTTTTTCGTTGGAAGCTTAGGATTCATATGGTCTTATGAGAAAAGTGAAAATGTGCGAAGATTCAATCTTTTTGGGGTTTTTTTAAAGCTGCCGCTTGTTGATTTGATCATTGTCTTTAAGCCACGTGATATGGTGTAGTTTTGTTACCGAGAGACTGGTTCTCAGTGAAGCCCTCATTGTTAACGAGGCTATTGGAGATTATATGGCTTGTAAGAAGGAAGGGGTTATGGTTAGGATTGAACTCGAGAATGTTTATGATCATGTTGATTGGGTATTTTTTTGAACAAAGTTTCGTGGATAAAGAGTTTTTGGGGTTAAATAGAGATCTTGGATTTTGAATTGTCCCTGGTTGGTACACTTCTCTACTCTGGTTACTAGAAAAATATTTGCTACTAGGGGTTTAGGCTGGGTGGCCCTTTGCCATCATTCCTTTTCCTTGTGGTGGTTGCTTGGTACATGGTAGGTTATCGTTTAGAGGGGTGGATAGGGCTTAGTTGAATATTTCCATGTGAGAGAATAAAGTTCACCTCACTCACTTTTAGCTTGCAGAGATACCATCTTTTTCTGTTATGAGAGGTAAGAGCCTTTTTTTAACTTGAGCAAAATCCTGCATATCTTTGAGGTCATTTTTGAGCTTGGAATGGACATTGAGAAATGTTATGTGGTTGGAGTTAATTGTGACCCTTAAGTTGGTTAGGTGGGCTAGGCTGTGTTTTGGGCTGCTTGTGGAAAAGGTCAATACATGCTTGTTTCCTTGCAAGGAAGCTTTCTTTTCTAAAGTAGGGAGGTTAAATTCGATTCAATTTTTTTGGAGTGGTATCTTGATCTACTGACGTCCTTATTTAGAATTTAGAATTCCTTCTTTCATTAGTGAGAGGGTGGAGAAAATCGCAAGGGATACTCTGTGGGGAGGGGTAAAGGGGAGTGGGTGCCTGTCATTTGGCTAGATGGGATGTTGTCTCGAAATTGTGTGAAAAGGGTGGGATGGGCTGGGGATATGAAATCTGTTGTTTAAAAGTTCTTCCATATCCGCTAAATGGTTATGGTGGTTCTCGTTAGAGTATGATGCTTTATGGCATAAGATCATAACAAGAAAATATGGGTGACATTCTACTGGGTAATGAACAACTGTTTGACTAAAACCACATTCAGGAATGTGCAGATGGCTTTACCAAAAAAAAAAAAAAAAAAGAGAGAATATGCGGAAGGCTATCTCAATGGGTCTCCCTTACCTTTCCAAATTCTTCAAGTTTCTCATCGGGAGGATCCAGAGTGCATTTCTGGCAGGACCACTTGTTGAGTGACGGTTCTTTTTATTTGCTCTTCTCTTGCCTTTCTAGTCTTTCCTCCATGAAAATTGCTTCCATTGCCTTGATCCTCTTTTTGTTTGGGGAACTTTGTATTGTCTGATGGGGAAGTTCTCAAGCTGTCCTCTCTTCTCTGCCTTTTGCATGATTTTTGTCTTTGCCTGGCTACAACTACAACGACTCTCTTGTTTGGACCCTTGAGTCCTTGGTGGTGTTTTCTTGTAGATCCTCCCTCTCCCATTTGATTACCTTTTCCCCTTCGTCAAACCCATGCTTTCTCCCACGCATTGGAGGGCCAAAATCTTGGGAAGATTAAAATGTTATGTGTGGCTGATGCTTTTAGGAGGATTAATGCTATGAACTTTGCTGGAGGCGGAAGACAATAGTTTTCAAAAAGGTTACTTTAATCATCGTTCATCTCATGAGTGCTAATGATTTCTGTTCCCATACAGTTTTATGGTATCCAAACCTATAACAACGGAAGATGATAGATGCTTGATATTAATTCCTTTTCAAGATTGTTCCCCTCCAGCAATTCTCCCCTTGGATTAGTTATTGTCGTCCATCTGATTTGACCAGTTTGTTGTATCATTGTGTGAGATGCACATGTAATTCTTTCTATCTTGCAGGATGGGCATGACTCGGAAGATGCAAAGCAAAGCACTGCTGATATGACCGTTTTTGTGAGTTCATTTTCTTTTCTTTGTTTTTCCCCATTTGATAAATGATAGTCTAGCCTAATTGTTTGGAAGGTTGGCTTTATGAAGTTTATCATCTTCCTTTTGATGAATGCTATCTGTTTCTGTCTAGTTTATTGCTAAATTGGTGTTAACTCTTCTTTTTTCCAGGTGCAAAACCTTCTTCAACAGATGGTGAGTAAAGTTGGTGTAAGTTTCTAGCAGAGAAATTTATATCTAACAAAATCTTTTTTATGCAGCAATCTAGGTTCCAAACCATGTCCGACTCCATAATCACAAAGAATATCCTTTCTAAATAATTTTATTTATTGATAGCAATTTAGCCAATATCGTAAATCGTAATTATGATGAGAACTATCGTTTTCTTTCATTCTAGCAAACAACGATCTAGTGGAAGTTGTATTAGTTGAAGCATTCTTTAGGGGAATGATAGTAACGATATTGAAATGGATTGAAATGGATTGAAATGGATTGAACTTGTTTGAACCTTAATTCCTTCTTAATGTGAAATCCAATACAATCTGAGAACCTCTATATAACCCACCTTGATTGCAGGTTGGAATTTGTTTAACTTTCTAATTCAACTTCAGGGCTTTAGATTCATCAGAACTGAAGTAGATTATTGGATAGCTTTGTTGTAATAATTAATGGTAAATTTGCTTTCTTTAACTTGAAAATACTTGATGAGATGGGGAGCCGCATAAACGAATTGGAGCAGAGCATCAACGACCTAAAGGCTGAGATGGGCGTAGAGGGCTCACCATCACCGCTGCCTTCTTCCAAGTCAAATGCAGATGAAGGGAAGAAAGAGGAAGGTTCTGCTTAGAAATAGTTGAAAGCGTATGTTTCATTGATGAGTTTGATCACTTTCAGTATTATTCTCTTTTTGGTATTGCCTTTTGTGAAATTGAAGCCAATGCTTAGGATGAGACTGAAAAGTGCAACATGTTCTAGACCTGGACTTGCTATTTCTGCACGATTTCTTATTTCAAAATGACATGATAATATAGTGATTATTATACTCTATGATGACTGCATCAAATTAGAAACACAAATCGCTAGCTTCGGCAACGAGTAATAGCACTGCAGCCACGGTCGTAGGGGTTCGCCTCGGCACCTGGCTGGCAATTGTAGTAAGAAGCTCCCCTGCGCGAGCATGGCACCGTGTTGGCCTTGAGCGCTTCGTAGCTTATGTAGTTTGAAGTTGCCAATATACGTCTATTGATCTCAGAGTTCATTTCGTATTCAATTTCATCCATCATGCATTCTGCCATGGAGCCGTGACAACGTGCTCGAGCTCCATCCAGGACCCAGCTCGGGCTCTCAGTGCTGGGTGCGAATACTGCAGTGGAGGAGACAGTCAGGATTGCAGTGATTAAGCAAAATGGAAGGAGAAAGGAAACCTTGGCCGCCATTGTTGCTCTCTCTGCTCTCCCTGGTATGTCTATACAATCCACTTCTTTAATCTTTTTATAATTGAAATACAAGCAAGTTGCTTGGAATTGGTAAACGGGAGCTGGTAGCTACTTTTTGTTTTTGTTTTTTTTTTTTCTGTGTTTATTATATTGGTTTTGTTTACATCTATAAAAATGTTCTTTTGAATTATTTTTTTGTTTGTTTGGTTTGCATTTTTGAAACTGTCTTATTGATTTGGCTGTGTTCATATAATGAAATGAGATCATGATGGATTTATTTACACTTTGTATAGTTTCAAGCAACGACTTATTATGGATGGAGTGGAGAAATAATTTTTTTTTCTCAAAATTATTGTTTTAAAAAGTCTAAAGACAGGCTGTAAGCTTTGATTTAAATAATAAAATGCTATTAAAAGAATCATAATAATGTGAAACTTGTCCCTTTGATAAGTATGAGCTCATTTCCATTTCTTGTTTTTGGTTTCTAATTTTTGAGAAATATAGGCATTGGGTAATTGCTCTCGTTCTTGTTTCTTATTTTTAATAAATGATTTTGAAAACAAAAAATCAAGTTTTTTGTTTCTTGTTCCTATTTCTAAATTTTTCCAAAAACATATGTTAGAGCATTATTTTTTCCTTTTTGAAATGCATGATAAATGTACGAGAATTTGAAAAAATAAATTTCATATTAAACTTTTACTTTTTTTATATCTAAATTTTAGATGATAGGAATAAGAAATGATTGCCAAACATGCTTCACTTCTTTTTTTTCAACAAATGAGAAAGAATACGAAATTGTTATTAAACGTAATTTTGCTTTTATTGATTGAAAAATAAGCAATGAGAAAATAAAAAACAGGAAATAAGAATCAGGAATGTTATCAGACGAGTTCCAAATTAGTCAAATTATAATTTTTTTTATATAGCCTCTAAAATTTAAGAAGTTCTAATTATGTCTGTAGATGAACTCATACATAATAAATCATATAAAATTTTGATGAGATTTTGGATGGGTCCTACTCTATTATTTCATATTGGCCTGATCAACTAAACTACTCAAAAACATTATAAAACATCTATAGAATTGGCATTTTATCTTGACTTCACAATTGACAAATTCTAAACACCAATTACTCCTTTTTTTTTAATAAATAATCTCTTTATTAGGAAAAGCAAAACAATCGTTTCATTTTATTTTATTAAATTAGTTAATAGTTAATTAAAGGTTTGAATCTTGTTGAAGTTTTAAAATTATTTCGTTTTGGTCTCTGAATTTCTAAAATGCGAGCTCTGTTCTAGGAGTGTAGAGGAGATCAAAATGAACCAAGTTAAAACGAGAGGATTAAAAAAATTATAACATCTAGTAATACTTTGCCCATTTTTTTATATTAAGAAAAGACTATTTCATGAAATACATATTCTCAAGTTATTATTAGCTATCTATTAAACTTGTACATTACGTCCAAGGCATGAGTTAATTTATGAGTTTAGTTATTACGGATATGCTTTTATAGTTATTTTTTATTATATAACTCTAAATTATATAGTATTTTAATAATTTATTTAAATTACTTTTTAAAAGTGTAAAGTTTCACATAAACATTTTGAAACTTAGGTATCAAAATAAGTTCAAGACCCAAAATAGAATAAATTTGATTGGAAAGTTTAGTGACTAAAATAAGGTTTAAACCGATTTTAAATTCAGCCAATTATTTTGTCATAAAAATAATAAAATTTAATATATTTTTAATCTATAAACATAGGATAGATATGTCAATTTGGACAAGTGATGATAGATTTCGAAGTTTCAAATATATTTAGATTTTTGTTAAATGATTAATACAAAAATAATATTTAGGACTAAAATAGTTTATTATGTAAAATAAGTATATTTTAAATTCAGTTAATTCTTATATAAATAATGAAAATATTTTAGTCTTAAACTCTGCATAAAAAACCATTTTAGCCATGGACAAAACATTTGGATAGTTTAAGGACAAAAATAAACTCATTTAAAAGGTTAGAGACTAAAACAAAGTAAGTACAATAACCACAGTATATAGGATTTAAATTATAATTCTACCAAAAAAATTGGCGAATACCATAATCTACTTTTATATACCTTTACTAAACCTTAATGATGTATAAATTTATTTTGAGTACAACAATATATTCATGTTAACTCTAATAATGTATAATTGATTCAATCTTATTGAAAAAGAAAAAATTGATTTAATCTTGTATGTGGCAATAACAAACATCATTTATTAATTTTAGGGATAGTTGCAAATATGTCAAAAATATTTAGTAAAATTAATAAAATAACACCCCCATTTAGTTTTTTCAAATATAGAACTTAAAAAAAAATGGAGGTCTAATTTTAAAATGACACTTTACCCAAATAATATACATCTGTAATATATATGAGTACTGATATATTTGCAATATATATGTGATATGTATCTGATATGCTACCGATATGAGTGTGTTTGCAATATATATATGATATACGTCTAATATACTACTAATATGAGTATCTAATATACTATTGATATAAATGAAAATTTTGACATATTTTAAAATGCATAAAAGATTTTTGCTATGAAGACAATTTTCCTTATTTTATTTAAAATTAAACCCTTAATTATTCGATTACTACTCATCTTCCTACGGACCACTATTAGAATTTTGATACTTTCCTTTCTCCAATTTGTCATAAATTTAACGGCCAGTAAAAATAAGTGCTGACGGATAAATACCTGAGTATTATTAATTATTTATTCCCTGGCTATCACATTTGGGCGTTAATTATTTGCATTGCATCCAAGTAATCTTGGAATGAGGCCGTTAGCACATTTGGGGAAAACGCCGCCGGGCTTTCTTTCGTCGCCGGTGCCGTACAGTATCCCCAAGATCTCCGGCACCGTCCGGCTGTACGATAGAGACTTATCATCGCCGGCCAGAACGTTGGTCTCCGTCCGATTCTCCGCCCCCAGCGACGGCGGCACCACCACTCCTTCGTCCTTCAGCCCGCATCTCCCCAGCCGGTTCGCCAGAGCCGCTGTCCGGTTCGTGAACTCGGCCACGGTTAAATTATAAGGAAACACCGTCTCATTTGCCCTAAGGTACAACAACGTTCGTATAACGGAGCTCTGTCCCGCCTCCAAAGCCAACACCGCCGCCGCCGTCTGCAGAAATTAAAAATTTTATATAAAATTTTAGTCCCTTATTATTATTTATTTTATATTTTTTGATTTGGTTGATTCCTCGATTTTTGGCAAGTGTAAGAAGAAAATTAAAAGAATCAATTCTCCTTGTTTTCGGGTTTCGGGTCATTGGAGTTTATTGTCGGTCAATTTTAACATTAAAAATGTCAAAACATAAAATAACATCTAAACATAGACATAAAAAAACTGAATTATATATACATTTACCTTTTAAAGGCTTTAATTTAGTTCTCTCTTCTCTTATGTTTTAATATTTTTTTTATTTTAGTTAGATAAATGTTAAAATCACCCTACATAATATTCTTAATGAATAGGTAGAAATTTAGGGTTCGTTGGGTGTCGTTTTTCGTTTTTCGTTTCCAATTTTCTTTAAAAAATTTAAATATTTTACAATTAATTTTGTTTCTTTTTTTTTTAGCCTTCTCACAATTGTATATAAATTTTGGAAATAACCAAAAACAAGTTTGTTCTTCCTGTTCCCATTTCTAATTTGTTCCAAAAAGATTATTTTATCATACTTGGATTCATGGACGTTGTAGCCATACAATTCATTTTTCTTCATTAAATGAAAACAAGAACGAACCCTCCAAGGTCCAAAAATGTAATCTAAGACGCCAAAGTTTCCAATTCCTCCTCCAAATTTCCAAGACATTAAAAGAAATTTTGAACTAATATTTTCTCAATGAAGTTTTTTTCTTCAAACAAAGTCTGCAACCAAAAAATTCGATCATCGAAAAGTTTTCAATTCCTCTGAATCTCGATAGATATTATGAGTTTTTCTTTCTCTCCTTCAAAATTTCCTCCAAATCCCACATAACTTTACGATCATCGGCCATTCTCAACAATAGAGACTAAATTGAAAAAACACGAGACTAAATTGAATTCGTTTTGTTACCCRACGATAGTTAAGAGTGGGGAACGCTGGGGCTGCATCAACAAGGGCGACTTGTCCTATGTAAGGGAATATGGCAATGGCAAGCAAAAAGTTGGTGGTGTTGGCGTATGGGTCAAATGGAGGAACCAGCTTGAACCCAACTGCTTTATCAAATATCTCTGCAAATGCTTCTTTGCTTAGATTCAACAATGGCCTGCTAACCCCTACTCCACCCGTTGCCTCGAGAATCTTCCTGAACAAACATATAACATCGAAAATATCAAGAGACTTAACAAAGTGAAGCTCGTTGTCTAAGCTTAACAACACAGGGATATGACCAGCGTATAGGACTCGAACACAAGCCATGCCTTTGCCACTACACTATTCCCAGAGGATAGGGGACTTAAAGAACTTTATAAGATATGCTGGCTACTTCTCTTATTGCAGCTCAGTGATATTATATTAGAGATAGTGCAGTAAACTGAGGCCAAAAAACATGTGCACACTACCTTAGTTGTCCAACTTCTTCATATCCAAATTCCTCGATGATCTGACGGACGGGAGGCTCTAGATTGGCTATTTGAGCACCAATGGGAGGTGGACCTTCAAATGTCAAATTTGGATACAAGGAGTCAAATCCTTTCCCAAGGGCGCCATGGAAATACATCTCGCCTTCAAGGTACTCAAAGTTTGTAGCAAACACGAGAGTTGCAAGGGGGGGCACTACTATCGTCGATTGGCATGGACTCAAACCGAGAGTACGTACCACAACTCCATTCAAGCTGGCTGCCCAAGCGACGAAGAGAAGTAATGCCCAAAAGGATGATGGATTCAGCTCCATTGTTGTTATTGATGGTCTAAACTTAGCTTGAAAATTCTCTCTTCAAGTTTTGGACTTTCTTTTGTCTCCTAATAACCCATGCTTGCTTTTATAGTGTGAAAGATTTTTCTTTGGGACCCTTCTATCAACCGGCAACGGTTTACTTTTAGGAGAAATAATTTACTAACAAACTCAAAATTAATAAATGAATTAAATTAATAATTTAATTCAGTCTTGATCATGTGCAATACTTGATTCTCCGTAGTCAAACTCTTTTTTTTTTTAATATCCGTGAGTGTTCGGGCCAGCTTACGCGCATCTCGACTAATCTCACGGGGCAACCGCCTGACCCTACAACATTTGGTGCTGAAAAACATATAGGAATTACTAATTCCTAAGGTAGGTGGCCATGAAATATTATTTTAAAAAATAATATTTCTCCCTCTAAATTTCAAATTATTGAAATTCTAACCATTTTTACGAAACGAGGATCACACCATCAAATCAAAGGATAATTTGGTTTATTTGAGCATATTATTAAGTAATAATAGAAACAATGTTGGATTTTAGAGGTGGGAATCCTCTGGACGCCATAGATAATCTATCCTTTATTCTATCCATTGGTAACATGGAAACAAAAATTTGAAAATAAAGTATTCAATGAAAAACATAATTTTATTATTTTTTTTCAGTGTTTTTCGGAAGTAATATTTATAAACTAGTGTTAGTTACCAATTAAATATTTAGTTCAGTTTAAAATAATATCATTTAATCTATACAAATTTTTGTTATAAAATTTGTAGTGCTGTTATTTTACAATATTATATAATTTATGATATATTATATTTACATGTTTAATTAAAAAAAAGTTTGTGACATGAAATAGTATATTTATCAAAATTTTAATATAATGATGTATTTTAAGTTTTTTTACTATTTATATAACAGAATTTGAAAAAAAAATTCAAATAAAATGACGTCAATATAAAAACTGTCTTGTTTATGCTAAGAGACGTATTTGCTTAAAATTCATTTTCTTTTTTCTTTTTTCCGTTTGTTGCAAAGGACACTTTAATGCCGCTTCCTGAAAACGTTGCACGCTTTTAGGAAACTTTTTTCCTTTTTTTTCTTTCCCGAAAAAATGGAAACCGGAAGATTTCGGATTTTTAATTTATTTTTCCTGATGTGTATGGAAATTAAATAAAAATGAAAACTTCAAACTTTCGAGGTTTTATTTTTTTATTTTTTCCTTCCTAAAACTATTTATTTTGCTGATCTTCTTTCTTTCCTTTTTTTTTTTCAAGGAGGAATTGATTTGTATGATAATATTTCAACGAATATGGAATTTAGAGTTTTTTTTAAAAGAAAATTGAAATTTTGAGTTTGAATATTTAAGATTAAAAAATGTCATATGAATATTTTCTGGGCTAAAATAGCCTGTAAACTTAGATTCTATTATTAATCCGACACGTTGAGTATCACATCGATGCAAAGTTTCGATCAATTTGACGAGACGAATAGCAAAAAGAAAGTCATCAATAATCACTTAAAAGATATCAAATTTAGTAACAATTTTTAGGTTTTCATTTCTAGAAGAAGTTTCCTAAAAGGCTGCAACATTTTTTTGGAAACGACATTAAAGTGAATAAGAAGTGTGGGCAAATACGTCTCTAAATTTGTTCAAAAGACAAAAATAACTTCCATTTTACTAAATAATTTGAAAACCACTCACTTTTTGTTAATTTGTTTTAAAAACTAGTTTTTAAATCTTGGCGTCGGTTGAAATGTCGAGTTCTCACTCTCGTGGTAATGTCGATATCGATAAAATGTTGATGTAGATAGATATTTATAAAAAAAATTATAAATTTGCTTTTTGAAATATGATTATAAAAAGAATTTGTAACAAATAAGCATATCACTATTTATGATTAAGTTTAATTATCGTCTCTTTTTTGTGATATAAGTTACACTTTCAATAAATTTTATTTAAAAAGATATATCAAAAATTTTATTTTATTATTTTTTGCTTTTTTATTAGGGAATTCGAATCAATAACTTTTAATCGGGCATATTTGTCTTAATTAATTGAGCTATGGCTAAAAGTTTTTATTTTATTATATTTAATCAAACAAGACAAAATATAATTTCAACGTTATTTTGTAATAGTTTTTCTTTTCAAAACACAATATAAAATTATAAAATATAGTAATCACATGCTACATATTTTTACGTTATTAACTGCTTAAAAAATGAGGATATTATGTCAAATGAGCATAATTCAACGTAATTGACATATATCTCCAACTAAGAGGTTGTAAGTTCAATCTTCCACCTCACATGTTATACTAAAAAAAATAAATAATTTGAGATATTACGTACAAGTATGCATTAATTTGTTGCTCTATATTAATTAGAATTTTGAAAAAGATAAGCTTTTATTTTTTCTTTCTACTACGCTTGAATGGTTATTTCTAATTAAATCTATGCATTAAATAAGTATTAAATATTATTTTAATAATTTCTTCCATTCTTTTTTAAAATTCAAATAATAAGATAGATCTCTCGAGAGAGTTCGAAGTGTGACCAAACTGCTAATTTTTTAAAAATAGATATTTTGAATGTTTGTCGACCAAAATAAAATAAAATAAAATAATTTTAGTTTTAGTTTTAATATTTAAAAGAAAAGAAACATATATTCGAAATAAAACTTAAATATTGCTCAATTAGTTAAGTCGATTAAAAAGTGGTAAGTTCTACTCTCATTATTTTGTAATTTAAACTAAGAAAAACAGATATTTTCTTTTAAAGGAAAGATTGAATAATTAGGTACGAAATAAAGAATTAGTTGAATGGACCATTTTTAAATGGAATTAATTAGATAGATTGAATCGAGAATTACTTTTTGCAACTAGATTATTAATTATAATTTTAATCTCTCTTAAACTTTTCAAAACAATCTATTTTAATTGAAACTTTGCCTGAATTTGTCTTTTGTTCATCATCTATTTTTTTTTATTTAGTAGAAAAAAAAAGATAGTACAATAGATTGGGGTATATAGTTGGAACTTCGAGCATAAAAATAGGTACTAATTATCAGTGATCTATACTAATGTTGGCTTTGTTCATCATCCAATTAATATATATTTACACGAACAAATGTTTGAACCATATGTAACACAATTTTAATAGTAAATTATAAAAAAAAAGTTGAAAGTACTGAAATAGTTATTTATGTGAAGTTTAACGAACAAAATAGGATTGAAATAAATTTTTATCTTAGTTTATTACTTTTAGTACAACCCAACTATTATGCATGAAAAGTTCTACGCTTGAAATTTCCACTCTTGTTTAATTTTTTCTTTTTAAATATTGATATGAAAATTAAGAATTAGTTGAAGGGATCATATCCTTGAGTATGGTTGGGTAGTAATTATTCCTAAAAAGAAAAAAAAACAGTTTTATAGTAAAACATTCACTACAATTGATTTTAATGAGATTTAAGCTTTTTATTTTGATATTTGATTGAATAATTAATTTTTAAATCTCTCCCTCGAAGATCATTTCTTTTGTATAACAACATGTCGGAGTAAGACTGAACACACGATTTCTTAATCAAGGATACATGCCTTAATTTGAATTCATCATTTTTAAAAATAAAAAAAAAACACTTACAAGGGAGAGTGTGCTATATGAGTAATGTATTTTTATGCTAGTTTTGCACGAAAAACCCTCACAAATTTTCTATTTATCAAATTTACATTTTTTATAAAAATAAAAATATTAAAAATTCCAATAGGGATTGTAAGTTATTTATAAAATTCAATATTTTTGAAGTAAATTATGACATTTTCACATTTCATAATTAAAAAATATGAACAAGGGACATTTAAAAAAAAAAAAAGAAACCTTTTTTGAGACCAGTTTAATAGTAGCCTATCTTGAAAAGACTTAACTATCCCTACTCAAGAAATAAATCTTGAAGACAAATTAAAGGTCACAATTGACAAAACAACAAATAACATAAAGAAAAATCCTAATTTACAATCCAACAATAATGAAAAATTAAAAGCCATAATTGGCCAAACGAGGTTGAATGAAACCCTTAATAGGAGCCTTGGGAAAAAAAGAAAAAAAAAACTCTTAACACCAAAATTACATCAAATTGACACTTCAGACCCTAAGTATTTGATGATTTTTTTTTTTAAATTAAACGTATAACAAATTAATTGAAGTTTCATGGTTATTAAAGGAATGGAAAATCTATACTATATATAAAAAGGGAGTCGCATTTGAGCGGTACTTCTCCTATCAAGTTAAGAAATTTTTTCATATTTTATCGTTTTAATTTAAACAATTTCATTTATTAGAATGAAATAATACGTTTAACTTCTCATTAAGTCATAAATGATTACAGGGTCATTTATATATATACAACTAACAAAACCAAATAACTAACTACAATAAGAAACTAACTAATCATACACTAAATTAGTTATACTCTAATATCATTTATATTAAGGATAATTTTTCCTTAAAATATAAAATTTTCCCTCTCATCCTCTCCTTCCCTTTCTCCCATTTCTCTCTCTATCTTGTTCTCATTTTCTTTCAAAATGCTTTCTCTTAATTTTTACATATCTCACGTTTTTCAAATTAATTTTATCTCTCTTAATACTCTTTATTTTTATGAATTAATTTAAAAAATTATAACTTATTTTTAAATATAAATTAATAAAAAATTTCAAAAGTTTTTGTAATTTTTGTCTTCTGCAACTATATAAATAGCTTTTTCTTACTTTTTCTACCAACTTTTTTCTCACAAAAACTTGAGCATTCTTTATCCGTATGTTTTTCTCCTTTAATTAATATCTTGTGTTTTTTCTTTATTTTATTTATAATTTAGTTAGATTGTTTGAGGAAACCTTTAATTTTAGTTTTTCTTTTAATGCAATGTATTTAAAAGAAGACTTGATTATCTATCGTATCTGAGTAATTTGTTAAAAGGCTTACGATATGACATACTTGCATTTTTTTTTTGTCATTCTCTTTTTCAATGATTCAAATAAGA